TTTCCCCATCCCATCACTTTTTAATCTCTTCCTTTCTTCTAAGGGTGAGGGTAACGTGACAGGAGGATGCGACCTCCCTGCAGCGTCTGCGTTGCTGCCTGTGTGTGCCACGGGCACGGCCGGTGAGGAGGTTTGCTCCTGACCACGCTGATCCCTTCCTGTGCGTTCTGCAGGGGGGACATGGTGGGAGGACTTCTGCTTAACCTCTCGGGATGGTGCCAGCTCTGTCAGTTGTGCTACTTGGCAACTGGCCGAGTAAGGGCTGGGCTGGACAGGATAGAGCCTGCTGTAAAGGACCTGCTCCGATGAGTAAGTAGAGCCTACTGGAAAATCATCCTCAGGCTCGCAATAACTTAATTAAGTGCTTATTAGGATAAAACATTGCCAGAAGCTGTTCAGGTGCCTCTTTGCTTTCCTGTACTTCTAAAAAGGTTTTATCTTCTTTCTTTATGAAATAGTTTCTAAAGAAGACTAAAAGGATCCTTTCTGAATAATTTTACATTGAGGACTGAGGATTTTTCATGGAAAACTGGTAGGTGGTGCAGATTCACCTATTCTTGGCTGGTGGTGCAGCACTCGGGACGAGCAGCTCCCCGGCTGAGCAGCCTCTTAGGGTGGAAGGCATCGTACAGAGGGGTCATGGCACAGTATCGGATGATTCATGTTATCACATCACTTTGGCATAGTCTGTAAACCAGTAACATTTTTGTGTCTTCAAAACAGTTTATTTGGTGTTTGTGCTTGCAATTTATGAATGGAGCTGTGCAGGGTAACAGCTGGGAAGGCATTCACTATTTGTTTGCCATCTGTAAGTTTTATGCGGTTCCCCAATTTTGTAGCATAATGAGAATTTGGTATGAGCCATGCAGTGTTTTCCTCGTGCACAAGGAGCTCAGCCGCTGGGCAGCAAGTCAGGGAGCACAGGAATTGCTTCTGTTTCGTGCTGTTGCTGCTGTTTAGAAACTGGGTCTTCTGAGGGGAATGTCTGTGGGTTTTGTGCAACAGGCTTTAAATAGTTCTGATGACGTGCCTTGTACAATTTCTACAGAATATTTTCTGCCTGAGAGAAAAATTGGTACGAGTAGTAATTTCTGTAGGAGTTGCTTAAGTCTTCCGTTTATGTTGGTTCTCTTCCCAGTGAGCAATGAATTACAAGTAGCACATCACTGGTGGCCTTAAGGTTGCTACTTCACTTCAGAGGTGAACAGGCTAAACATGGAACAGTAGCTTTTTTTTTCCACAGCCGTAGTGCTGAGGGTTGCTTATAGCTTAATAACTCTTTCACAGATATGTCCCGAGTCAAATCTTCTCCAGAAGAAAGCCACTCTGTAGTACAGAGGACTGATGACAAGCCTGGTGTGCTGATAAAATACAACTCGGCTTTATGACCTCTGCCAAGTTGGCTCCCTGTCTTCTGCTCTCCTGAGCTCTACTTCTCCCTTGACCAGATTTAGTATCTTTTAATACCCAGTCTGTTTCCAAGAGGTTGTTTCAAAGAGCATTGAAGCTCCAGTAGACTCTGGCAAACCAGGTTTTATGAAGTATTTGAAGGCGCAGGTTATGTTTGGGAGCCATTGAGCTGTCAGCAGGATAAAATCAGTAGTGGATGATAGCATGGCTCTGCTATTATGGTGAGCACAGTTGTTTTGAGCCTCTAACTGCCCTTTTCATACACATCTTTTCTACCTTCTGTGTTTCTGAAACATCTCAGAGTGGAGCCCTCTGTCATTGTCCTGCAGGGGGAATCCTCTGTCCTCCTTACATATCAGGGGCAGTATCCAAAGGTGATCCTGCTCTGAAATATGATGCTTTTAGGAAAGATCATGGTTAGGGCTTTCCAGGTGGGAGGGACCCAAATGGAGCAGCCGGCCATGAGTGGCACAGGGAATGTCAGGCCAGTAATTGCCTTTTTAGTCCCTATAGTGCATCACAGGCCCCAAAATCAGCATCTCTCAAAAGAATGGTGTTAAACTTCACTGGTAATTATTATTACAGCTGTTTGGACTTTCCTATAAACTTCTTGCCTTTCCTCCCTACATTTTCTTTACTGCTGGAATCTCAGAGCAAGGACTTGGTTGCGTGATTGTGTATTACGGGGGTTTTTTTGCTTGAGTGCCGTGCTGGATACTGATGTCTTGTCTGTCTGGTGTTAGGAGTTTGTGACAGGTGATGCAGAGAGTGCCAACAGCGTGCCATGCCCTCGTCTGCACAGTTACTGTCCTCAGAACTGTAACCAGCAGAAGGACGAGGCTCTTGTCTCCACCAGCCTGCTCTCTGCCCACCAGTGCTGATGGCCGTCTCTGCTGCCCTGTCTGCTTCACCTCCCTGCTCTACAAGAATGATCCGCTTTGCCACATGCTTCTCCTGTTCGGACCCTTCTTATGGGAAATTACATACCCTTTCCCTAGCCTTACCAAGTCAAACTTGTTGCTTGTGGTTAATGGCCCAAAACAAGGCTCTCCGTGGCCTTAGGAGAGAAGGTGGCCTCCTGGAAGGATGTACCTGATGGGAATCTCTTTAGTTCTGCCCATATTTCCTTTCCAGGCAGGTGGCTGACAGCAGAGCGCTGGTGATAAGGGAAAGTGATGGAAGTGAGAAGATTTTTAACCTCCCAGCCCTTTAGTTACACGCTGCTTTATCCACTAAAAATAGTTGCTAATTCAACCTTCTGGGGAAACCTCAGGCACAGGCTAAAGGATCACTAATATTAGTTGTTGGCTTTGCTGATAAAATTAGCTATGTGAAAACTGGCTGTGACTGCTGAATTATTTCTCCTCCTGTGCAGCTTGAAATTTATCTGCCTCTGTGCTAAGATTGTAAAGGGGGGGAAGAAGAGGAGGAGACAATGTCTTGTCTCCTGAAGAGGCTCAGTAAAGCACACCATGCTCTTTCGTCCCGCTTGTGGGTGCTAGTCTGAAAGCAGAAGTGTACTTCCTCAGGACATCAGGGTGATGCTGAATCAAAATGTATTCAAGCTAAGTGAAGGGAAAATAATTTTTTTATTATTATTATTTTTTAAAGTTAGTGGCTTCAGGATAAATCAGTGTTTTTCCAGTTCAGGCTTTAAGAAATTATGTCACTTGAGGGCTTTCAGGGGATCTATTTGTCACCAAAACCTAGAAAGCCTCAGTTAAAATTTTTTTATATGAGAAGGGTCTGAGGAAACATCTGTGCTCAGTGTGCCCAATAAATTAAAATTTGTTTGTTTGTTTTAAACTGTAGCATAGGTAAAGATCTCTGATCCATTTTAATTTGGGATGAGTGATTTATTTTTCTTCCTTTTTAAAATTCTGGTTTTATTGAAACATCCAGTGCATGTTTGACATCTGGTTTAATTTTAGAAAATAGTCCTGGGAGAAACTTTGTCAGTAAGGAGGAGTGCTGAGGTTATGACAGGCAGTGCATAACATGGGGTCGTGCTACAGGCTTGAAAAAGGTCCTTCTGAGCGTGTGCATCTGCTTTGCTGGAGCTCAGAAAATTTGATTTTTTTAATATCCCTCCAGGAAAATGGAGAGGTGCCCAAAAATGTGCTTGAGGTGAGGGGAAAATCCAGCCTTAACACAAGCTTTTATAATTCTTATAGCTATAAAAACGTAGTCAGCAAAGCCTATTGTCAAAGTGGTGAACCTCAAATCATGAAGCCAGAAGATCACAGGCTCATGCCATGCTGTGTCCTGGTTCTTGGTCACGTTCCATTTCCCATTTCTCCGTGAAGCTGTTGTCTTTGGTCTTGCTTAGGCGTGCGCCTGCCTTTGAGTAGCTGCTGAAACGTGTCCCTGGAGGAGGGGCTGCGGGCCGCAGTTAGCCTGTGCGTAGTGTGTGGAGCAGAAGTAGCCGTGAAGCGTGGTGACTTGGCATGTTCTAGCATTCACCTGCGTTTTGCAACATGGAATTTCTTCAAATATATGGTGGGGTTTTTACTCTATTATTATTTCCCGGTCCTTGTCTCTTAAAGGAAGGGAATAAATAATTAGTTTTGGTATTTGTTTAAGCAGAGAAAGGAACTAAGAAGTTCCTAGTCTCTTGTTCAGTTGAAGAGAGCAAGCCAACATCATTTTCAAGGCACAGCACTGCTGGGGTGCACGATGCCAGGGACTCTCCCATCCTGTCTTATCATATTCATCTACCATCCTGTTGACTGTAGAATTGTTTCTGGCTTTCTTCAAAGCCTGTATGACTATCTTATCAATTCTGAGAAAAGCAGAAACCCTTAACTATGCAACAGGATGGCTTAATTGCAAAATCTGTCATGTCTCTCACTTTTTCCATGAGCTGCAGCATCTCTAAGCAAACTACTGGAAGATGTGCTTAAAATATTAGCTGTTCCACAGAGCTTGCGAACTCTTCACTGCCTCTTTCCACAAACCTCATTCCTCATGTTACTTCAGAAAGGGCAAAATCAAGGCAGTAAGTGATGTCTGAATTCAGCAGCATTACAGTTTTGCTTAATTTCTAAGTCTTTGAGAGTTAATTATCATGCAACTCATAGAGAGTAGTTTCATGATTTCTTAATCTGTTATGTACACTAATTTTCTTTTGGCTAACTGCTGAAGGGAGACATTTGTTTCTGCAGGGCATCAGCTGTGCCTGAACCACAAAGCACAGGGTTAACAGAATCCGTAATTATAGAGATGCGTGGGCTTGCTGTATTAATCACCATTTAGAAATGTGGATCTCTCATCTTGACTTTCAAATCGAAAATATAGCCATAGGTTAATCCCTTCTCCCTGCTCAGGTTCTACCTCTGCAGGCAGAATGGCAGTGGGCATATGTCCTGCTCTGCAGTGTTTCTCAGTTCATGTTCTCAGTTATGCTTTGAATGTTTGCAGTACTTAGGGGAGGGGGAAAGTTCTTTACCAACAAAGTAGTTCTGTCTAAATCGCTTCCTTGCAAAAGAACAGAGCATGCATTCAATGCCCTGAACCACTCTTGTTCCATTGCTTTTCTCCTTTTAAAGACAATATAGAGTTTTCCTTACTGTTTCTCTCTTCCCTTGCAGCATCAGCGAAAGCTTCCTCACTGTGAAAGGCGCAGCTCTCTTCCTGCCGCGAGGAAATGGGTCGTCTGCTCCCAGGATCAGTCACAGGCGCAACAAGCATGCAGGTAATCTGTTGCATCCGACGGCTGAGGCTTATCTGCTCACTCTTGTTTCCAAGTCTACCTTCCTTGAGTTTGTTCTCACCAGATGACACACATTTCTGTTTACACCAGGCATGTATTAAAGCTAGACCTGCCAGTCAAAACTGCAATATTTAATGCTGATAGAAAACAAGGTTTCAGTACTCTCTTGTTTATCCTGCAAAATCAAACAGATGAGTGACATCAGGGCAACAATCATGACAACACGGAGAGTTGAGAACAACCGCTCCCCAGAATATCATCCTGTAATTTTTGTATGAGAGAGGGGCTGGAGGGTTGCCATCAAAACCTTCATGCATTGCACTGGGAAACTTGAGGCTATGATATGTGATGAGTAATTGTCCTTCCTGATCTGAAAGTAACTGGTTATGATGGAAGAAAGGGAGGAGACTTACCTCTACGTGGTGGTGGTGAGGAACCTCTGAGCAAAGTCAGTATGACTTCTCAGACTTCTGAGCAGAATGAATAATATGGAGTCAGTCATAATTCCACCTCCTTTATCTGCTGAAAGGTTGATTTGTGGTTTTGCTTTGACTCTTTGTTTGAAAAGTCAGTCTGAATAATGAAACTCAAACATTTCAGGGTAGGTTGTTTTTCGTTGTGTATATGGTGCTTATTCACTGACGGTGTTTTATGGGGATCAGATAGTGAGGGGGTTTTCCCTTCCATTAAACAATCCACAGGACAAAAACAACATTGAAACTTTCAGGCTTTTGCATGTGAAGCAGAGACAGAAACAGAGAGGCTTGAGTCGACTTTCTTTGCCAAAAAGTGACCACCAAAAGGTGATTTGGTTCGGTTCCAGGTGTAGATTTCTTTGTACTTCGATACCATCAGACTGTCATCCAGCTCTACATCCGGCATAGTAATCTACCTGATGACTGGTCCACCTCAAAATCTGTTTACAAACATCTTTCTATAAAGAGTTTAAGTCAAAAGGCAGTTAATTACATACTTCCACTCAGACATAGTACAAACAGTACCCAAATTGCTTTGAGTGAGATGTATTAATTACCAGTTATCAAAAGAAAATAAATTGTTCTGAAACTTAATTTAAAGCTGGCCTTTCTGGTTGGGACTGAAGTGAAAAGGTGTTCAGTGTGCAAAGAGAGTTAGCAGTTGTATTTTTAAAAGTTTATCTTGACCTGTCTTGGTTTTCAATCTCTCCAAAGTCCTCTGCATAATAGAAGCCCAGGTCAGTTGCTGTCTTGGCTTTACCTTGCAGAGGAGACCCACTGGATGGGTTTCCTTGTGAACCTGTGCAAGGCAATGCAAACAGCTTTTGAGTCTCTCTTGTTGCCTCGTCTACTTGCTACAGCTGACTTGCATGAGGTCTGGAGACCTTGGTGGAAAATAGTCACTCTCTGATCAGCCCAGAGCTTTTAGAAGCCAGGTTGCCAAGAAAGCAAATCCGGTGTGTTGTAATTGCTTACAGCAAGATGGTTTGTGTTTAAGAGGCTGGCTTGCCTAAGGGATGGGATTTTCCTTCTTAGAAGACTCTCTTTATTCCTGTCTCCTCAGCTTACGGGGTGAGATTTCATGAGGCATCAGTACTTGTCCTTTCCTCAGTTTCCCCGCTTGTCAAGTGACGTGAATGTTACAGTATTTCTGTAAGGTGCTTGGTGAGCTCACTGAAAGAGAGACCTTTGTATGAGTGTACACTGTCTGTCTTCTCTGTGAACTTTCCTGACGTACAGTATCTGCCAGCAGACCAAGACACCAAGGGATCAATGTATCACCTTCCTGAGCAAAACATCTGTGCCACCAAAATTAAAACAGTGATGCAGAGATTGTGGCTCGGAGAGGTGAACTGGCCATTGGTAGCAAGCTGGCAAAGCATGTGGCAAAGAAAACTGTCTCCTTTCTTGGACTCTGATAATCTGTGCTCAACTTTCACTCCTGTGTGTGTGTCGTGACTTATCTCTGGCACACAAAATTAGAAGGGGGTGGAGAGCGGACATAACTTTCCAATATGAAATTGCTGCCTATGGATGCAATAATGTTTCAAGTGGCTGTGAGAGCATTTTCTAGGAAGGTTGACTAACCTTCCTGACCTCCCTTTCTAATTCATCAGAGGTGCTAGAATCCAGCAGAAAGAGTAAATGCGTAACAGGAAATAATTAATGCTCGCGCCCATTTCTTTAATCATATCATCTTCAGAAATGGCAATCACTAGTTGGCAGATTGACCAGATATGGTACCAGCTGTCCACACACCTCTGTGTTCTGGCGGCTGGTGGGCTTGCTGTTGCACTCCAGCAACACTGGAAGAGGCCAGAAAAGGATGCAACTTCCCTGGGGCTTTCGCCATCTCTAGGATACTGTAAATCACTGTTAAGATCACACTCTAGCTGATGTTTTACACCTAGCCTGCCAACTTGAAGGAAACAAAAGCATCTGCTCTTTGCTGAACAGTGTGATAGGGAGCAGCAGTTGTGCCGTGAATGCCAGTGAAGTCGACAGCTCTTCATAGGACAGGATGGTGGTATCTTTGTGCTGATTCTGGCATGCTAAAACCTTTCCTTTGCTTTTTCTTAATCCAGGAAGCTTACAAAACGCCTTGTGTGTTTGGGGCTGAAAATGCTGCAAGTCAATTAAAGCTGGCCAAGGAAGCAACACTTCACTTTCTAGCTCTGGAGCTCCCAAGGCTGGCAGGGCAGGCTGGGGAACAGGGAGGAGTGCAGTAACTTCCTGAGGATGAGGGATAGTGGAGCTCCTTGACTGAGCCTTGCAGAATTGGTTGTCTTAGAAACTTCCTCTTTGTTTAAGTATTGAGATAATCCAGTACTCCTGGTGGTTTTTTTTTTTTTAAAACTCTGGAAACTTCAGCTTTTAAACTGGTTCCTGATGTTGAATTACTGGCATCAGTAGATGGGAACTGTTACACATAGGGGAGGGATAAAACCAAGGTGAAGCATCTTTCATTTCAAGCTGCCTAAGACATGTGAATGCCTCATGAGTCAAATACTTGCTGGGCTCTTCCAGGCTGCAGGCAAGAGGTGCCACCTGAAGCAGAGGGACCTTAGCCTGTTGCGTCCAGTTCTCACCGATTCCCACCACACTAGCAGCTGAAACTTGCTGGAACTGAGTAGCATTGCCAAGACTGTGTGCTAGCGTTGACGTAGGGAAATCCTGTCTCTTGCTGCACCCCTGGGAGGACAAGCATCCGATGGATGAGCTGGCCTTTCCTACATTACCTATCTCCCTAAATAATTGCTGTTTAGGAAGGTACATGCCAGCCACTCCAGCCCTGGGAACAATGTCCTCAGGCAGGAAGTAGTTTCAGGTGCTTGTCACCACTGGTATATGTATGTGACTTCCCTAGCGCTGCAGAGTGCCTCAATTTTTCCCACCCCCAGTTAAAAATGCAGTCCCAGGGCATTGACTCATTCGCCATATGCTGAAACGTGTTTGAGGAGGAAGGAAGAGGAGAGCAGGGAATGCCGTGTCCTGAGTAGCCCACTCCACACAAGCTTGCCTCTGTCCCATCAGGAGAGAGGCTGCAGCAGCCCTTCAGCCCTGTTGTTCACCAGCTATAAAAATAATTTGGAAACTAGGTACCATGCTCTGGCTGGGCAGCATTTCCTTTCTTCCCCTTCCCTTATGTGGTACTTCTGGATGCTGCTCCATGCCCAAGACTTCCTTATTTCTGAAAGTCCATGACACGGCATGGATTCTAGCACCTCTGATGAATTAGAAAGGGAGGTCAGGAAGGTTGGTCAACCTTCCCAGAAAATGCTCTCATAGGTGCTTGTGCTGGATACTTGCTCCAGTATTCGTGCTGTTGCCTAAACTTGTCTTCCCGCCTTTGTGGGAGTTGGAGAAGATGGGAGACTAAAGGCTCCTTTTCTTGTCGATCTGTGCCACCCACCTGGCAGTCTTGCATTCTCCTTTCTGGGAACACAGATTAATTTTCCAGGTAATGATTGAAAAAACAGCCCATTGCTGGAGGTGTTACTGCTTACTGACACTCAGAAGGTAATGTGCTGGCTTAGTGGAGAAGCTCTTGGCTGTCTGCGGGCCAGGGAGTAGTGCTGAGAAGTCAGTGCGGCATTACCAACACAAAGGTAGCTCACTTGTCTTTCAAATGCTTGATGCTTTAGGAACCTGGGACACAGCTCTTCTTAAGAAGACTTCAAAGTTACTGCATGACTGTGATTTTTTTTTTTTTCTTTCAGTTTTTCCTTAGCCTCATCAATAAAAGTGTAGCAAGCATTTTCTAGGAAAAATTGTAGGTGCTTGATTTTTCAGATGGCAATTCTTAGCTGCTTTTGGGTGGGGCTGGTACATAAGCTTATGTGGGCACGTGCTGCTCTAAGATGGGACTAAATCTCACTTCAAAGAGGATATACTTCTGTCTAGGTAGTAGTTCTGCACTAAGTAATAAGTTAGCGTAAAAAAAATGGCAGATTCCTGATCTGAAGCACATGATAGAACAAGATGTTGAACCATGGGGTGGGGTCCCTTTCTACCTGGTTGGCCGTTGTCTTTTAAAGGAACAAAGAGTAGTGAAACGCTTTTTATTTCTGTAAAAACATAACAGGATTTAGCAGGAGAGATCATGATAAGACAGGAACAGGTGAACACACAGAACAAAGAGCATTTGACTAAGAGATGGAGTTTTGTCATCTTTGAGTGGGTGGAAGTGACAACACAACACTTATGGTGACGTGTCGGGTTTCTTGGTGGAAGTTTGCTCCGGCTGGACAGCCAGGAACTTGCATGTGATTTAAAACTACTTTTGTGCATTCACGTTTCCCTCTTGCCTGCAGGGGATCTCCAGCAACACCTGCAGGCCATGTTCATACTGCTCCGCCCAGAAGACAACATCCGACTGGTAGGCTGGCTTTTTGCTTATCTGCCGTTAATGAATGTAAAGGTTAAGTTCCACTTGACAAATACACCTGTGTAATGAAAGCAGTGGTGTGTGTATGTTTGAGTGGTTTCATCAGCGGGTTTGAGGATTCGTCTTTGCAACCGCAGAGGTAGAAAAGCAGCTAATTATGAAAGGCCTGCTTAGTTGGTTGTTCAGTGAGAGAAATTGTATGGCTAGAAGACTGCCTTTGTCTGAACCAAATACTGAGTACTTATGTTCTCAAAAAGTACTGTAACAATTGCCAGAGAAGCTGGGTAAATTAGCTTGGTGTCCTATTTAAATCAAGAGCATGTGACTTATGTCTGACCAGTGTGAACACCTGCCCTTCCATGTTAGTTCATTCGTGTTCCTCATTCTGCTCCCTAACTGGTTGCATCCCAAAGGCCATGGCTCATCAGCAAGGACCATGTAGGATCCCCACGTAGGTATGCACCTATATTGAACCTTGTCTTTCTGCTTTTCTGGGTTGTTGCCTTCTATAATGATGTCATGAAAATTAGGCATTGCTGTTTATAGCATTGATACGCCATCCAGAAGCCAAAGAAGAGCAGTAAGGAATTTGTCTAGGACGTATTGAAGTGCTTTACAAGGTCAGGCATGACTGAAGGGTATCTGCATCTCTCATCACTCAGTAGCCTGAAGTTTCTTTCCTGTGTTGTCTTGGTGCATCTTAGCAACGTATGCCCAAAGTAGGACTGCCAGCATCAGAAGAGTTGTTCTGACACCTCTGCTTTGCTGAATCCTCCTGAGCTGTGCTGGAGCTGGGCTGATCGTATGAGTATAGCTAGGAAACAGCCAAGATTACTATGGAATGCTTTAACTTTAAAAAGGACCACCAAAAATCATTTGCCATAAGCAATCTTTGTAAGCAAACTAAAGGACCTACTCCTAAACTTTGTCAGGCATACCTTGCTGTCACTAAAATTTCAGTGAAAGTGATGGGAATGGGGGTTCTCGGTGCTTTTCAGAATCTGAGCCAGCGTTAGAACATTGGAAGCTATTGAACAAGGCATTGTTCAGCAATATCACTGGCTACATTGTGTGATTTGGGACAAATTAGCCTTAACAGCTGAATAAGGACTTTGTGGGTTGAGACATAAACCCTTTTGTTCAGAGCTACATTTGGAATGCTGAAATCTTGCATGAGGTTAAGTTCGATAGTCTACTTGAATTTAATTGATTCTTGACGAACGAAGGGTGTGCGCAGAGCTGCAATGGACTCTCTCATAAAATAGTAGATACAAACGAGATTTGAAATATAAACAGTACTGAGAGAAATGCATTCTCTTCTTGTGTTGGCTGCTGTCATTTGGAGGGCAGACTTCACAGCTCAGAGGGCAGCAGAGGAATCTAATCCTCTATAAACCTACACTTAAAATTTGGAACAACTCTTGTTTCTGTTGGAGCTATTGGCAGAGTTTTTTAGCCTTCCATGAGAGCAGGATTAGAGCAATGGTACAACTCTAAGATCAGTAGGAAGGAGAGGAAAATGAGTTAAAAGTGTACAAACGGATTGAACGTATTCCTCTGGCTTAGCAGATTGGGAACTTGTTCACTTACATGTGTTCAATAACAAAAGCTTTAGAAAGGCTTTTTTTTGGTCTTAAAATCAAATATACCTATGAGAAATGTGTTCTTGTATGAAATACCTATCGTGTAGCATGAAAAAGATGAAAGGTCAGCATGAACTTACGTTTTGGAATGTGCTGTTCATAAGGGCTGGTAAAATACCACATCACACTTCTGATGAAACAAGAATGCAGCAGAAAATAAAGTTGACTTGTGTTTAGGTGAGCCTAAAACTAAGAAATGTGTTGCTGGCCCTGAAAGGACTACAGAGAACTTCTTGTTCATGAACAGACTATAACTAACCTCCCCAAATTGAGGAGAAAGCTAGCTATATGTAGATGAGCTGTTGAGAAAGAACCTTCCGTCTCATCGCTGTCCCTGAAGCTAGGCCATCCTCCCTAGATTGAGTGGGATTTCAAATATCTTATTTAAAAGGCATCAGACCACTCAGTCACTTGGTATGCTCCTACTGTTGGGTGAGCATATGAACTAGAGCTCAATGAAAAGGTTAGAGACCAGGTTGTGATTTGACGGGCATGTTGGAGCGCTAATAGTAACTTTTGAGCTTGGCTGGTTTAGAATGTCAAGTTTCCTGTTTTGTTATTCTAGAAAATTTAGCAAAACACATTATCTACCCCAATCATGCTTTTGCTTTGTGATCAGGGTGTAAGTGTTGAATCTAGAGATCCACAATAAGCCATGCCCTGTTTCTCTTAATTGGTCCTCCAAAAATCCCACCCCAGTGACTTGAAACTACATGACCTTTGGCCGCTGTTTGTGTAGGTCTAGCCGTGTTCTAAAGGGCCTTGCATTAAGACCACACTTCCCATTACTGCTAGCCAAACTGGGTTAGCTAAGTTAGATTATGCTAACCCTCTTGCTGCTGGACTGTCCTCAAGAGAAGCAGAACAGAACTCGTGTCTGGATGCCCCAGACACAGGGCAGCTGTTGTCCGCTGACTCCCGTTTTAGGCAAGTCTTTGTTTCTGTTTGAAGTTTGGTTCCTAATGTAGATAATGACTTTAACCGCCAAGACCTTGGTGATTGCTTGCTCTTCTAGGTCGAAGAGCACCCTTTCTGTTTTGCTACAAGTGGTTAGTTGTAGAAACAGCTGTCTTTGGCAGAATTCACACCTTGAAGGCCTGACCACTTTGATCCTCCATGTTTCCAAAGGAATCCCAGTGACTCAAGGAGCAAGAAGGAAAATAAGGCTGGTTTTAGCATGACTTATCCTAAAGAGATGGGGTGGGGCACAGTCTCTTGCTGTACAGAGCACGTCTGTCTGCTGGCATCAGCATTTGGGTAGTTTCTGTTAGTCTTCAGTCCCATTGGACAAGTCTGGAAGACGTGGTCAACACCGTCTCCTGCCTGCACTTGCTATTCTGCCCCTGTCACTAGAGCTGCTGCTCCCTGCAATGCCACTGAGAAGCTTTCCCTGCCACTCTCAGCTTAGTCTCCTGCGGTAGAGCACTCCGGTGAAATAGTGAGCTCTGTTTTGACTGCTATGTGCTGTTTTAACCTTTGTTGTAGGCTCTGCCACATCTTGTGGCCAAGACTTACTGGCTAGTGGACAGGCGAGGTGTGAGGAGGTCAGAGAGGGCTCCTCTAAGCAAGGAGGTGCCATTCTGACATTAAGACCAAGTTAGAAAGAACTACAGGAGCATATTGGGAAAAGCAGCCTACTCCTGAGAGATGCCACACAATAGTTATTTTGTGAGCTTTTTTTTTTTTTTTAAAGGATAAAATGACTGTTTAAACTGAGCTCTTTGAGCCATGAACTCCTGTGGGTCACTACTAAGGGTCTACCCAAGTCAGGTCTCAGGAGGGCTGCTGGTGTTTGAGGAATTCAGGTTAAGTTTGTGAAGGATGTCAAACACCACTTCAAGCTTCAACCATTGGGTTGCAAGGAAGTGGGCAACTGGGCCCCATTGCAGCAGGCACGTGTCTGTCCGCAGCACGGGGCAAGGCTGGGCTGTGACGGCTCCTTCTCACCCCGTGTTTGCTCTCTGCAGGCCCTGCTCAAAGTGCAAGAAGCAATTTAACAATATGGTAAACATTGAGGCCAGACAGCGTCTCGGGGTTGGATTAGGCTGTGCAAAGTTAGGGTTCAGTTTACATAATTAAAACACTTCCTTTCTAGGAATGTCCTAGTTTCTCTAGTTGGGATCCTGTGACTAAAATAACTGCAAATGTCTTGGAACAGAGTCCAAAAAGTGTTGCAAGTAAAGGCTGCCTACTACAGATGTTTATAGTCAAAACTTGCAGCGCTGGGCTCCCTTCCCCAGGCTCCTCATTGACCAGCAGTCTGTCTGTAAGAAGACTTGTTGGAGTCACTTCAGTTCTCACTTCCCCGTGGCTTCTGGAGGAGCATTACACATCAGTGTAGCCTTTCAGCAACTTCAGTCTTGGTCTGACATTCATAACTTAGCTGCACGGATGCTTTCTGAATGCTGTCAGTAGAATTTGATTTGGGGCTGTTTGGGGTGAAGTTCAGGCGTCCTCCAGTCCTGCTAGGTCTCTCTTTTGGCACTGGGGTACATGTGGTTACGGTAGGAGCAGTGAGGCACAATGACTTTCACCTTTTCTGGGCAATCTGAATCCAGCCATGGGTGCAGCTTAGTAATAGGGAAATCTTTTCCCATCAGGAAAAGCAGGAAACCACCTATGAATTAGATCCCAGTTGTTTGTCCAGCTGCCTGGGACGGTGGTGGTAAGAGTCTCGTTGGAGCTGTTGTAGCGCACAGTAGCTTAAAGGAAAGCCCTAGCTCTTTGGACAAAGCCCTTTGAGAGGTGAAGAGCACATTCAACACCCATCTGTCTCACAGAACCTGTAATGCTCCGTGAAGCTCACTAGGCTGGGACTAGTCGGAGGACTGCGGCAGCCTGCCTTGTAGGCTGCTGTTTAAACGCAGCCTCGGTGGGACAGAGCATGCCTGCGGCAGCGTGTGCAGAAAGTGCTAGGAATGTGCCAGCTCTTGAGGAAAGCGTTGTGCGTGAGAGACTAAGTCGCTTCTCCCTCTTCTGCTGGTTACCCAGCTGAGAAGTACGGGCCATCCGTACTAGTGCAAACTGCATCACTGCTTCTGCGCCTGTCACTCAGCATGAAAAGGTGGCTTGTAAAGGTAATAGTCTGTATTTTGGTGGCTGCACTGCTGATCTCTCCCTTTCCTTTCCTTAGGCTGTAAGACTGGAAAGTACCTACCAGAACCGCACTAGATACATGGTGGTAGTGTCCACCAACGGCAGACAAGACACCGAAGAGAGCATTGTCCTTGGAATGGATTTCTCTTCCAATGACAGGTACTCAGAGTGTCCAGGTGCACCTTGTGTTTGCCCACATGTCAAGTGTAGAAACGACTGTCTGGTGTCCATGCTTTCTGGGGACAGACTGCTGCAGATTTTCCAGCCTAACACCTTTCTTGAGACACAGAATTCCCCTGTGATTTCTTGAAAGGAGGTGACAAATGGGAAGGCAACAGCCTAGGTCAGCATTTCCTCTGTTCCGCTGAGCCTCAGGCTTGTGTGAGGACGTTAAGTACCCTTAAGTGTCTCTGAATGGTGAGGTCCCTAAGCCCTGCATCTGCACACCAGAGACAGGGACAACTGGCATGCAAAGAAAGAAAAAGTTGCAATTAGAGAAGCTGGACATCAGGGTTCAGGAGAGCAGCTAATAAGAAAGTGACTGTCAGGCAGCCCCTTGCCAAGGTCAGTGCACAAAGGGCCTGATGGGAATGTCAGGGTTGCTGATGGCAGATCTTACACAGCATGTGCTCTCCCCAGACATCAGTATGTCATCAGGGTTTAGTGCTTTTGCTTCATTCATTTAAATTGCTGCTGACCTCTCCAAAAGGCTGCAAAATGTGGCTGGGAAACAGCTTTTGCTGCTGGAGTGCCTGTTAGCCAGGAGGCAGCACCCCCAGCAGCTTCACGGCAGAAGCTTTAAGTTTAGAAAGGGACATTAGGCACTTTGGAGAGGGCATGGAGGCACATGGCTCTTTCAACGGGTTGTAAGTAACTCTTGGCCTATGCAAGGGAAGAAAAACCTGGGTATTCAAACCATTTTGGAAGGTTTCATACACATGCTTAGTTCTAGCACAACTGCTGCAGGAATGAGTCTTATTGACCCTAGTCAGTAGAAATTATGTTCAGGTAGTTAGCAGGGTCACTCAAAAGGCTTTTTGAACTGTTTGGCTAAGAAATGGCCTTCCAAACAGCCTGCTGATCACAACAGCCACCATGCTTAATTTCAAGTGGCTTGATTTGGATGCTTAGCTCAAGTGATGCCTACTAAAAAGGGGACCAGCTTGATGCTGCCGCTGGCTCCTGGCTCCCTTCCTGTGCACGTGTGCACAGCTGTAGCTCAGAGATGCTCCTGCAGTAGGGCCAGAATAACTTGTCCTTGCGCAGGTTGCTGTGAGCTCGGAGCTTGCTATTGGCTATATACCAGCACAGCCACCTTTGATAACTGAGAGCTTACTGGTATTCAGTCTCTAACAACATAGCAGGGTCATTTTGGCTTTCTGCTAGAGTTACTTAGGTTCTGGATGGTCAGTCTGATACGCCCTCCCCTAGCCCACTTGGTATTTATAACTCAATGTAGACTTGTTGCTATGGTCTCTGATAAGCACTTGCTGAACAGTATCACTAAAAATACCCTGGCCACCTTGGGAAGCCTTTTAAAAACGTATCTTTCCATGAGCTCATCTCATGTTGTCAACAGAAATAGCTGCGTGCCACAGCGTCTCCTTGTGCTGGGCACCAGTCACTCCGAGGCATGTACAGGGCTTCATGTCTGACCCTCTGAAGCCTTGAGTCTCACCCTCTTCCCCCCACTTCTCATGAGCTGCAGAGACTGTGGGGCTGTCAGGGCTTGTGGAAATTTGAGAGCAGTTGATGCAAAGCATAAGAACAGGAGACAGTTGAATCTGATTCTTCAAGATGCTGCTTTGATTATGGACCAATTTTACAGCTTTATGAGATTCAGCTTTTCCGTTTGACAACCTGGAGCAGGTTGTGTTGGAGTTCCCCTGCCCTTGCCTTTTTCCATTGCTTGACTTCTGTTTTTAACTTGACTTTTTGCTCAGCCTTACAGAAAGCAGGTGATTGTGAGGGCAAAGAGGTCAAAGCAGCTGAGAGAGGAGTGGGTTTGCCAAGAGGTGTCTGTCTTGGCTGGCTGTTATGCTCATCCTTGAGGTGTGGGAGGGAGAAGAAGGGGCAGGAGTCAACAGCAGGTGATAGGCTGTGATTGCTAACCGACTGTGCTCCAGTCACCCAGCTATTACACTAGACTGATCCCAGTTCCCAGCAGCTGTGGCTGAGGGACAAACAAGAAAACAAAGCTATGGATTGCAAAATCAGAGCTAGCACCAAGCCACTTGAGTCCGAGAGGGACTAATCTGTAAAGAAAGCCTTGAGCTTACTGGAGACCATGAGCCCCCACTGACCTTCCACACAAAGCTGGCTGCTTCTGAATTGTGTTTGCTCTTCTCCTGGGCGTATGTTAACCCCTTAAGCTTGCTTGAAAGAGTACTGCTGTACCCTGTATCTGGTTAATGATCCTTGTCAGACACTTGTAGAACAACACTGGCTCTGTTTGTCCCTGAAGCAACATTGGGATTTTTTATTTTTTTTTTCCGAGTGCAAACATCTGCAACCATTGAAATTAGAATAACAGCATGGTGCTGTAGTAGATGGGCTGACCTTCTCTTTCTTATTACAGTAGCACTTGTACAATGGGCTTGGTGCTGCCGCTGTGGAGCGACACCTTGATCCACCTGGATGGGGATGGGTGAGTGTCTTTTGTGTGTTCTAGGTCTATAGCAGTGGGTCTCCGTGTGTTAGCTTACAGCACGGTATGTTGAGAAGGATTCAAATGATTGCAGAGCCCTCACAGGTCCGGCAGACCTCCTGCTGTTGATCTGTATTGGGTTAGTAGGCTCAAAGGCCCTAAATCACAGTGGTTGTGGCAGGGAACACCAATAATTGACTTATCTGTGAATAAACACGCACTGAGACAGTGTCTCGTGTGTGTATTTAAGCTGGAGTAAAGGAGCTTTTACTGGTGAGTGGGTGTGTAGTGAAAGCTCCTTAAAGGGATCCTATTATGTGTTCCTCCATCACGCTTGCAGCAGGCAGCGTTCGGCTGAACATAAAATAAGAATGATGTTTCTCTGCCAAGTAGACACCTGACTTGCAGACTCCTGTTTGTGCCAGTTACAAAAGCTGTCTGGTGCAGTGTGTGGAATGACTTTTCTTTCCTTGGTAGCCGCCCCGGGATCACTTTAGCTGGACTCTGTTGCTCCCAGCTGTGGCACCGAATTTGTGTTGCCAAGGTAAACAGCACAGCCCAGCACTGTCCCACTGTCTTAGTTTAATTCCCAAACAGCAGCTGCTTTAAAAAGTTCTTAGAGCTTTTAGCGTGCTATTTTGATCTGTTTGCTAGCTGAACTCAGCAGTGTATGCATAGGGCTACTCCTTTGCTGTTCTGATGTGCTACAAACTATCAGTTATTAACTGAAAAGTTGCTTTGGGACACATTTTTACTGTGCCTTTTTTCCTCTCTCCAGAGGGTTCAGCGTATCAACAGATAACAGGGTTCATATATTCAAGCCAGTGTCTGTACAGGCAATGTGGTAAGTACTATAATCTGTCCCAGTGATCCTTTTTCCAAGGTGTTTTAGCTGCTTGAGCTTTTAAAAAGCAGGTACTGCTTTGCATTATTGGTATCTTGAGACCTACTTGAGCAGCCAGAAGTTTCCTTCAGAGACAGGGAATGAAGTTTGATACCAAAGAAAAAAAACCATGCAAGTGTTGGTATATAGCAGTGAGTTTATAATAGTGCTGCAGCCACACCTCTGCCTCGGCTGGGGGCAGGAAGGACTAGGGTAATTTTCCTTGCAAAGGGCTTCTGCTTTGAATCTCTCCAAAGCAGAATTTCTTTGAGCATGTGTTTGAAATACTTTATTATTATTAGTCATAAATAAGGAAATACACGCTGTGCATATTTTAAGAGTCTCTTTCTCCAGTGAGACATGTTCATTGTGATAGTGAGAAGGAGAGGGAAGCTGCCTGCATTTTTCTTTCCTTTTAGGGTGGCTCATGTAAGAATGTAGTGGCCATGAAAGTATTTCTGGCTCAAGCTTCTTTGCATTGCAGAAATACATTGCCTGTCAGGGTGTCATGCTACTATGTCACCCCAGTGATTTTGACCTGGATCCCTCTGATCCCAGTCAAAGATTTAAAACAAGCTAAAAATAGGAGAGAGGGATTTGTTTCCCAGCAGCAGCTGAAGAAACTTCTGACATCCCTCGTGCAGTGAGAGAGGGCAGACACATAAACACCTCAGTAAAGTCAAGTCCTAAGCCCTTGGTTGTGCAGCTCTCTATGTCTCCTTCCTGGGTGTCCCTGCCCTGCACGCAGGGGAGCTGATGGCACAGTAGGAACTGTCAGAGCACCCTGTCACGGACACGAACTGTGCATCTTACTTAGGGCTTAAGTAGTTGTAGCAGTTCTTGGAGCCAGAGACACAGGTGCCTCTGCCCTCTTGAGTTGTGGGCACCTTTGCTGCTATCCAGGCTTGTCTTGGCATACTTCAGTTAAGAGGTGCAAGCTCTTGCAGTGTGTGGTTATCCACACCCTTGCAGGACAACCTCCTGCTTGGTGCCAAGGGCTGTTGTATTTAGCACTGGGGCTTGTACCAACTGATGGGACATGAGCAGCATCCTGGATCTGGCTGCTGGTTTGTGCTCAAAACCAGTCTGAGGAAGAAATTATAATCCTGCAAGTATTTTTTCCTTTCTAGGTCTGCTCTGCAGAGTTTACATAAAGCTTGTGAGGTGGCACGGAGCAACAATTACTACCCAGGGAGCCTCTTCCTCACGTGGGTCAGTTACTATGAGAGCCATATCAACTCCGACCAGTCGTCAGTCAATGAGTGGAACGCCATGCAAGATGTCCAGTCCCACCGGCCGGACTCGCCCGCTCTCTTCACAGATGTGTAAGCTGGTCTAGCTCTGCTGAGCCAAAGTGTTTGACTGTCAAGCACTGCAGTCTCCAAATGAGCAGTTTCCACCAGAGATTATTCTTAACTAGGTATTAATGAGGAGAGGTGTCCTGTTCCAGGTAATAAGTGGACCCCTGGTTAGGTAAACACCAGCACTGGAAGTTCAGCCCTCCTGGGGCTCACTTGCATCTCCTCCAGCCTCTGTTTTCAGTCTAGTTGTTTACCTTAGCCTTTAGGCTCGCAGATCTTTGCTTCTGCAAGGTAAGTCCCGCGTTACTAGCGAGAGAGCGTGTGGTATATTCTCGTACCTAGGCCTTCCTCTTGGCTAGTTTTGTCATCTGGTTTCCAGGCCTGGCGTCTCCTGGAAGGAATAGGTTTCTCTGGACTTTGCTCTTAGGCCAGCGCGTGTCTGAGCACATGTTTAGAGTAACATGGTCTTTTTTTACTTACTCAGTTCGTTTTGCTGTAAAGTGAGGTGTTTATGTATGGACTTCTGAGACTGTGAGCTCAGAAGCATCCTCGTAGGCATCCATCTGACACACCTAAGAATGGGGACAAAGAGCAATGTGGTTTTTCAGTGGTTCTGAGGAGCTCTTCAAGTGTGGAACAGGACAGTGTATAGGTCCCAGGCTGTCTTCAGCTAAATGCTCACGATATATGGTCCAAAACAGTGGCTGTGGTAGATAAGGAGACAGTTTGGAAAGGCAAAATTTATAGTCTCTATCAACATTCAAGGTTTACAAACCCTGTAATTAGTAATTGCTGATGGTACTGATACCATATAACCTCAAAGGTAGTCTGTGTCCAGATGTGATGCCAAGGAAGAGGGCTTAGTTGCCTGGTTTGTAGTGGAAGAAATGACTTCACTAGCCCCAGCTGCTTTCCCAGTGTAATTGTGCCATTGGTTGATTTATGCTCTGGGATATTTCCTGTTGTTGGAGTTCAGTGAGTGAATAATAATGCTAAGCAGTTGTTCGGCTGTGAACAAGTCTTCACACTTGACTGTTTTTTAATGTACAAGGAGGGTGGCTGAAAAGTTTTGGCAGGCTGTCAGATTAATATTCTCTTGTAGCTTTTCATATATAAATTTTATGTAACCCACCCTTTCCCTGGTGGCAGCAGCTGAATGATTCCCTGAGGACACTTAGCATTCTCTGAAATAATGCATGAGGCCAAGAGGACCAGGAACTTTCATGATTTTTATTTGTGAACCACCAGTTGGACACTTGTAAAGCAGAGAAGTGTCTGTGCAGTCACCATCCTGGCAGCCTTCCAGAGAAACAGGAAGGTGGTGCGAGATGTTACTGCTGGGTCCCTTCTAAAGATGATGGGTGAGACAGTTCTGTGCTCCTGCCCTGTTGCAACTTCCCCTGGTGTTAGGCTATTTTTGCAGCTGGTGATAAGGCCCCTGGCAGCAGAGGCTGGAGGAATGCACTGAGGCTTAGCTGCCCTCATCTCTCCATGTAAGGAGCTTTGGAGCTCTTACCTTTCCAAGAAAGGTAGGGGGAGGCTTCGATATTGCTCCAGAGAGTATAATGCAGCCTTCCCAATTTAAATTTTACCAAATACCAGAGGTTCTCTGGATGACTACAATGGATTAGGAGCATTCAGTTGGTCTCTTTCATATACAACTGGGAATCTAAACTGGGCTTTACAGTCACCTGAATTCCCTCCAGCTGAGGACGTGTTGGGGGAAGTAGTTTGAGCATCTGAGACTCTTCAGAATATCCAGTCTATACAGTACCTGTTTAAAAAGTGCCATGAGTCCAGTGTGTTTCCTCTCCTGGTGACTATTGCTTTCTTCTGATAGCCCAACTGAGCGGGAACGCACGGAACGGCTAATTAAGACCAAGTTAAGAGAGATCATGATGCAGAAAGATTTGGAGAACATCACATCAAAAGAGGTGAGTGGTGAGCACTGGAAGTGCTGTTGTGCAAACTAGAGAGCTCTCTACTTTATGCCATGAGAAAGGCCAGAACAAAAACTTCACGTGGCTTCCTTGTGTTCCTCCTCCCCACCCAGATACGCACCGAGCTGGAGATGCAGATGGTGTGTAACTTGCGGGAGTTCAAAGAGTTCATTGACAATGAAATGATAGTGATCCTTGGGCAGATGGACAGCCCCACGCAGATATTTGATCATGTCTTTTTGGTAAGTCTAACAGTGAATTCAAGAGTAAACATGCCTAACGCTTCTCACTATGTCTTGGTTGATGCAGGGGCCTTTGGAGGAACTTTAAGGAACTCTGAAGGAGAGATTGGCTGATCCTCGGGTCACATACTCTTAAGCAAGTCACTAGTGCTATTGAACAAGAGCAGCCTGGCTTCTTGGCTGTACTAAACTTTAGACCCTGCCAGTAAAGGATGGAAGGGAAAAAGTTTTAATTCTAACTGCTTTTCAGGGCTTTTCCGTTGATGTAAGACCAGTTTTGTAGCTTTAACTGTCCAGGGTGCCACAGGCTAAGTTCTTGGAGTACATATGTGTTTGGGAAGGGCATAACTACAGCAAAGAGGGAGAGGAGCTGTTGGGAAGAGCTGTGTAATGTTCAGGTGGAATGACACTATTGTAACATGGAAAGTTCATGTGATCCAGGAGGAACAGAGCAGCTTAACAAAGAATCCTGGAGATAACTCATTTAAGGAAACATAAACACTTCACCTTTTAATGTTTTGCTTGCGAAGTTGCCTTTCATTGCTGCTGGGGCCTGTCTAATTACTGCACGTCCTTCTGGTGAGTCAGTGCTCCGCTGGATTTCCCAGCCCTAAAGCAACGGACACAGGTTTGGTTGGGCTGTCTAGGCTATGACTTTAAACAAAACCATTCCTCTTGGACCAGCTCGTCCTTCCAAATGAAGAGGGCCTCTCCCAGTCTCCTGAAGCTTAGTGCCATGGCTCAGAAGGGATGGTGTATGTTCATGTGAGTGCTCCCAAGAAATTGTGGTGTAGAGCCAGGAACGTTAAAGTACCTACGATATAATGGATTTATTTTCTCTGCAGGCTATGTATTGTCCGGAGAGGGAGACCTGTTACAGGCTTAGAGTGCTAGTGAGAAGCAGTACAGGCAGTTGTTCAGTCTGCTGCAGGGCTTGGAGTCTTGGCTCTGAGTGCATTTAATGGAACAAGACCTTTAAAATAAGGCTTGCAGGCAGCACCAAGAAGAGGAGCTGTGGCTAATGTGTGGAATAGAAGTATTTGCAAAGCAGCTCTCTGCGGTGAGGAGCAGCGCTGCTGGGGCTGGGCGGCAGCAGCTTCATTCAGGAACGTGTATACTGCAAGGTGAAGTCATACAGTGAGGTCTCTGGAAGGCATGGAGCTGTTTCCTTCCAGGTGGAGGCAAGAGCCCTTGTGGGATCCCACTTAGTGCTAAAATAACTAAGCAGGAAATAAGAGACCTGATGATGTTGGTGATTGTGGATGAAGGGACAGGAGAAAAGGCTTTCACCACTGCAGCATTGTTCTCCAGACCTGTGGAAACTGGTGGTTCCCAGGCCTGAGTTAACTTATTCTTCCTTGGCCAGAAAGAGAACAAGAAGCTACCTTAAATCTGGGGGGCTAGACTAAACACATCGGGGGTCAAACTATGTTTGTTGGCAGATACTGAATAGCGAGAGCCCCCAGAGCCCTCCTTCAGATCGTGCACAGCTCTGGACTTTGCTGGGATTGACCTGACCTGTGGCTGAGGGCAATGGATTCTGTTGAAATCTAGGCTACCATGGCACGTAATGTTTGGCCCTTTATTCTGCTTGAAATTCAGAGTGCCATTTGTGCTGAGCCCTTGAATGGTGTCCTCATTATGATGATTTCTCTCAGGAAGTACTTCAGTTTGGGAAGAACCAGCTGCTTTTTGTTTATTGTACTCCTGAAGTGTCAAGACAAGGCAGCAGACTTGTCCCCAGTAGCTACCAGAATAGTAACGCAGCCCTTTCCTGTGCGTGTACACCTAGACGCAGGCTGCGAGTGCTCAGGACTTTTCTGAAATGCCTGCCTGTGAGTCAGAGCTCTTGGAGCTCCCCCGTGTCAGACACGGGGTGCTTATGCACGCTTTCTGGGGCAAGCAGCAACCCATCCTCTGGGTGGACACTGTTTCTTCTGCAAGACTGGCAGGTTCTCGCTTTCAGGCTGACAGGGTTTGCAGGCAGGCGGTGGGTACGCTCCACGGCCGGCTCGCCCTGGCTATGCCTCTCCTGGCCCTGGGGCGATGTGGAAGCCTGTGCTGTGAGAGCAGCCATGAGTAAGCCTCTTGCTTACTCCTTCATCTGAACTGTCTTTCTATTTAGGAGTTATCTTAGGGCATGGAAGCAGATAGCTTGTGCACCTTAAATTTTGAAGGAAGCTTTTGAGTGGTTTTGTCCTTGGTCAGGGTTTATGTGTTTGAGCAGGAAGCAAGCAGCTTGGAGGCCCTGTGTGTGCAGCAGAGAAGAGGGTTAGCTAGCCAGGGTTAAACGTGTTTATTTCTCTGCTCAAACAGGCTTTGAATGTGGGGAGAAGAGGTGTAACCCAAGTGAGCTTACAGAGTTGCTGCCTTTGATGTGTGAGATGGGTGTTTCATGTATAAAGAGCACCTGGATGTTTAAGTGCAGGCAGTCTCTCTTCTGTGGGGTAGAGCTGGTGGTAGCCTCCAGGGAAAGGGTGGAGTGGTCTCTTCTTTGCTGAGGTTGATTTGTCAGCGGTTTGCAGGAAGTGCCAGTGTATGGTGCTGGGCTCCTGCTTTGCAGAGCTACTTGTTGCTTCAGAATAGATCTGGTTAATGGGGCAAGATAAGGTGCTGAACACGAGCCCTGTTACCACTTTTCTGTGTAGCCGTTTATGCAAAAGACCCCTGCTCTCCAACACTTGGCTGGCCAGCTTCCCTCCTGGTGACAGTCCCTCCTTCCTCCGTCAGTTCTCTGGCTGTGCTTTCCTTCTGGCTGATGTGTCCCTTTGCATGTTTTTCCTGCAGGGCTCGGAATGGAATGCCTCCAATTTGGAAGACTTGCAGAACAGAGGGTAAGTAGCTTCAGGCCATCAGCTTAAAAGCAAGAGCCTGGCCTCAACAGTTGTCTATGCAACAAACTCTATTCCATACCTGCTGTGTAACCGGAGTCTTAGTAAAGGGTTTGCAGATCTGAACAAGCTCTTGCTTCCTCTGAACTCCATGTCCCACAAACAGGCACCTAAAGTTAAAGAATCTTGTTCCCTGACCTTGACTGACATCCCCTTGGCAAACAAAGGAAGCCAGCAATGTCATAGCTGTAAGCAGCAAAAAGCTACAATTACTTAAATGGATGCTGCGTAGTTGGCTCTGTGCCCTCTGCTCCAGCCTGTCGTTCTGGACCGAGGTCCCACAATTAGAGACACACTTTGGAGTCTGGACCTCCGGACTGCGGCAGGAAGGAAAAAAAATATAAAAGAGCATTTGTTGCTTTGAGTGGGGCCCAGTAGGAAGTAAAGTCCTGTAGCTCTTAGGCTTAGCACTGATGGGTTCCTCTGTCTCCTGCCCTTTCTACCTTTCAGGCTTAAGCTTAGTGTGTCCTTTCTCTAAGCGAGGTGGATCTAAGGACCAAGATTTTGCAATTAAACCATTATTTACAGGTTAGGCTTGTTTGTGCCAATCCAGTGGAAAAAAACTAATCACTCTGCTGAATTGAGTTGGTAGCACACTTCTGTACCTTGGAGAATCAGCCTGACAAAATTGACTCTCCTGATTCAGCTCAGGGTCTGCTGCAGTTTCCTGGATCAGACAGGTCCTACTTGACTGCCAGCGATCTCATACCTGCTGGGGAAAGGGGATGTCGCTCCCTTATAGCGCTCTTGTTCTGTCTGATATCCCAGCATGAGCGCAGTTCATGAGCATCTTACAAGTAACCCTCAGGGCTAAAAATACTGGATGTGGTGTACGTAAATACCATATGCTTTCTCTAGCACTTTCCTTTCCAGAAAATTTAGGGATAAGAAATAAATCCTCCTCAGTGGCTCATTGTCTGTTACATCTCTCTGTAGTTATTTTATGCATTTGTTTAACTATAGTGTGGCTCATAAGCTTATGCCTTCAATCTTCCTGTGTTGGTGGTGCAGCAGGAGGATTCACAAAAGGGGCTTTGAGAAAGTGTCCAAACACTAACTGAACAGTCTGTGCAGGAGCTCCTGTGACACACTTAGAGTGTGGTAACACTTAGAATAGAGAGATGGTGGGCAAACAGTGTGACCTGACGTACTGCAGAGGAAGTTTCTATCCAGTATGGAGGGAAGCCCTTTTGTCAGAGGCTAGGCTCTAAATTGCTCAGCAAAACCTTTTGTCTACATTAGCCGCTGCTTCCTTGCATTAAGTCCTGGTTTCCAAGGAGGTATGTTCAAGACTGCAACTTCAAATGCTTTGAGTTTTACTACTCACAAAGCAAGGCTGTTGTGTAGCAGCTGTGATATCTCTCTGAACTTGCTGTGTCCTGCACACTCTGCATTTTTATCTGCTGTCTGTTTCCATGCAGGGTGCGGTATATTTTGAATGTGACTAGAGAAATAGATAACTTCTTCCCTGGGCTCTTCGAATACCATAACATTCGGGTATACGATGAAGAAGCAACAGATCTTCTGGCTTATTGGAATGACACCTACAAATTCATCTCCAAGGCAAAGTAAGTCTTTTCAGAACAGAACACACACATTTAGAAGATGTATACTAACCATTTTATATTTTCCTACTGATTTTCTTAACTATTTTTCCTCCTTGCCTGCCTAGGATCAAAGCATTTTCATTTTGTAGTTTCTGTCTAAGCATTAGAGTTGCCTTCCACGAATTTTCATTCTTGCGGGTACTTGTACAAGGAGCAGGTAGGACTAGCAAGGGGTTTCTGCCCGGTTGCAGTCCAGGCAAACAGTCGAGGAGACCAGTCCTGTACTAGAGAGCTAACAGCTTGCCTGCTGCTCAGGAAACGCAATGGATCTGCAGAGGTGCTTCTGGGAGCAAAGGGCAGTAACAAATCGAGCAGGGCTTAACAAAAGTAAGAAGCAAAACCTTATAAGCCAAACACAAACATAAGCTGTTCCCTGTATTGTGAGGTTGTAAGATGAAGTCCGCAGTCTGGAAATGATTTCTTGTAGTGTAATGCTCCAGAGCAAACTCTTCCCTTTAACAGGAGTAAATGCCAGTGTAGGTCTCTGAGCTGTCAGTTACAGTGAGTAATCTGATAGCGGATGCTGGAAGTAGGGCCTTTTTACAGCAAAGAACTGCATCCCAGTTACATGAGCTGTCTCCAGTTAATTCAGCAGCCTTCTTAAGGGAAAACTGGTCAGAAAGCAGATTGGCATATGTTGCCTTTAAAGTATTATTTCCATTATAGAAGTCTGTCATCTCTTAACCATAGCTGGTGCTTGCAATTTCTCATAGCCTTTAAAAGCTGACTGATTTGAGTATGGCTCAAGACTTCTGTTATTTAAGATGGTTTCTTTAAAAGGCATCACCGTATTTCCTTAAGTATTGATTTTGAATTGTTGTCATCCTCAGAAGTATTCTCCTGCCCAGAATATTTCCCATTGGTGTTTAAACGATTGGGCCTCAGTACTGTGTATGAGGTGATGTAAGTTAATAATCTTCCAAACTGAGGTGATTACTGTACCCCCTTCTTTGCCATGTCTGCTTGTTGTGTTTGGGGTTTCTTTTAATCACCAAGAGCATTGCAATGTTTTGACTAATTTGATTTGATGCAAAGTTGAGAAAGTCCTAGAGCAGTCTAAAGGCTACTGTAGCCCCAAACAGTGCAGACATCTCTGAGTGTCTGGGGAGTGTGGCTGCAGGTACAGGCACAGACAGCTGCGAGCAGCTGAGATTGGAGCTTGTCGAGGCACGTGCTCTGTGGCCTCCTGGTTTGTCCTGTGGGAACTTCACGTGGCTGGCAATCCAGAAAACCTACCGCTTAAAGGAGAAAATTAAAGGTGCCAAACCCAAGCACACTCAGCTTGCTCCGTGCCAGTGCTGCCCAGCGCACAGAGTTCGCAGAGAAGGGCCGCAGCCTTCCTACTCGTATTTCATGGCAGACAAATGTTTTTTAATTCCTTGGAGCAGAGTGCTGGCTGCCCTTTCAGGCTCTGTACCAGCCTCACCAAGCAGAGTAGCTGCTCATTGCGCTCAAAGGCACTGTTTGCTTTGCGTTCAGTATGAAAAAATGGATTAAAGCCGAAGGATCTTCCATCTGATTGCAGCAGGGTGCTGCACTGCAGCCATCATTTGAGGTCTCTGCCTCCAGCCATGGGGAGGTCATCTTTTCCACTCGCTTCCATTTGGACAGGTACTGAGGTGAAGGACTGTTATAAACAGAGCAGGGATATAACGTTTCTGCCTATAAACAGTCCTAAGAACTGGTGGTATCAAAAAAAAAAATAAATCTGCTTGGTTGGTCCATGGGGCTTTTGGCTGGATTTACACCTACCAGTGTCTCGAGATGAGGATGAGGGCTAGGAAGGATTTCAAACACCTGACTAAAGCAATGTTGGTCTTGTCCAGCCAATTACCAAACCCAATAATATGCCATCAAAAGTTTCCAATAGAAGAAGATCCTGTGGTAGAGGCTGTCCAGAACTGCTCAGTATCTTCAGGGATGTGTTTGTAGACTGTGACACCATGTTTGTGTGATAGATGCCCTTTTTGTTTGGAATACTGCTTGATACCAGTGGGCCATCTGGGCTGAGTTAAAGGATGCCGTGTTAGTCTTTAGCAGTCTTCATAAATCTCTGCAAACAAATGATGTTTGTCCGCTTTGCGATAAAAGCTTCTGTCCTGGTTTCAGCTTCAGAAGAGTTGTTGTAACAAAATCTGTTAAGAATATTAAGACCTTGTTCTTCACTTTCTTTGTGTGTCTTGCTCCAGTTTGTAAATTGGATTATCAGATCACATCCCAGACTTCAACCGTGGCCACGGTGTTGAAAATGTGTTTGATAATGCTCTGGTAAAGAACTTGCTATTTTCTTAAGCTTCTCAGAAGCTATGTTTTCTATTGAATGATCCTCTTTTGTCTTTCTCCCGCTTCAGGAAAAATGGTTCGAAGTGCCTGGTGCACTGCAAGATGGGAGTGAGCCGCTCGGCATCCACGGTGATTGCCTACGCCATGAAGGAGTACGGCTGGAACCTGGACAGGGCTTACGACTACGTGAAGGAACGCCGCACTGTCACGAAGCCCAACCCCAGCTTTATGCGGCAGCTGGAGGAATACCAAGGGATCCTGCTGGCCAGGTGAGTGGAAGGAATGACCTTGATTACCCATGTTAAGGCACAACACTTAAATGATTGACTCTATTATTTTAATTAGAATTTCCATCACTGCATTATGTAAGCTTGTGATTGTCTTGGGGAAGATAGCACGCTCTTAAGGCACTTAAATGATTGACTCTGTTATTTTAATTAGAATTTCCATCACTGCATTATGTAAGCTTGTGATTGTCTTGGGGAAGATAGCACGCTCTTTTCATGGGTTATCTCGGCTGAGCCTGGGAAAATGGGTGTAAAAGAGCTTTTAGGAGGCTGTTTGGCTTCGAAGATGGCTGTTTTTTGGAGAGTAGCATCCCGTGAACTGCCATCCGAATGCAGCATTCAGAGCTGTGCAGACTCCAGCAGAGATAAGTGATGTCCCTATTGCTTGTAACATCACTTGGCAGGGAACTCGCTTTGTCTCCGTCTCAGCCTTACAGTTCCCATTGAACATGCCCCTCTTCAGCAGCTGGTCTGGTTTTATTTAGATCCCTTCTGTAAGTGTTGGTGTTAGGGGAGGGGACAGGATGTTCTGTGTGTTGCAACAGAGGTGTTTATTCCTGCATGGAGTCCTGAGGCTGGTCTGGAGCTGGGCCTGGGTACGGGCAAGCGTGTTGTAATCCCAAGCCTATCACCTGATTAGCAAAAAGACATAAATATTGCATGTTTCTGAGAAATTCACTTGTAAGCTGTGTTAAGCAATGTCTTCACGTGATCAGCTGGAAGGAGGTAGTGATACTCTGCATTTCGCCAGATTACGGTATTTTGTTTAGGATCCTGCTGTGCTTTGCCAGGGAGCAGGTCTGAAGCAAGCAGAATTACCCAAGCTGAGCCTCCTGCCACAGGAGGTGGCTCTTAGCATGTTTTGACCAAAGTAATTATTTCATAGCTTCTTAGTGCTGTTGAAAGGAGCCTGCCTTCTGTGGTTCTTTACAGCAACTCAGGTACTTGTGCTCTCCTTAGAGCACGCTTTTCACCTCTGTCTCCTGCTTGGTTTTGTCCCTTTGGGTCTGTCCTATCCGTTTCCCTTTTTCTGTGCTGATGACTTACCGTTCCTCCTTTGCTCTCCACCTGCTCCCAGCAGTCTGGCTATCTCTGCTGCTGGGCCAGGTCTGGATTCCTGATTTTTACACCAAATCCCTGAGGTACGCTCCTTTTGTCACCAAAGTGTGCTTCCT